TCTGATTCTAATCTCTCTTTTGGAATGGGGTGACCAGAACTGTCTGCATTACTCAAGGTCTGGGCATACCATAGGCATTAGAAAAAATAATCCCATCTACACATACAAAATGATGAAGGTCTAAATTAGCTGTTACCACACAACAAAAGATCTTGGAGTCACTGTGGATAGTTCTCTGAAAACGTCTGCTCAATGTGCAGCAGCAGTCAAAAAAGCTAACAGAATGTTAGGAATGATTAGGGAAGGGTTAGATAACATGACAGAAAATATCATAATGCGACTATGTCAGTGGTTCTCAACCAGGGTCTTTCGGGGGGTACACCAACTCATTTAGATATTTGCCTAGTTTTACAAAAGGCTACATAAAAAGCACTAACGAAGTTAGTACAAACTAAAATTTCATATAGAATCACAGAAGATTAGGCTTGGAAGAGACCTGAGGAGGTCATCTAGCTCAACCCCCTGCTCAAAGCAAGACCAACACCAAACAAATCATCCCAGCCAGGGCTTTGTCAAACCGGGCCTTAAAAACCTCTAAGGATGGAGATTCCACCATCTTCCTAGGTAACCCATTCTAGTGCTTCACCACCCTCCTAGTGAAATAGTGTTTCCTAATATCCAACCTAAACCTCCCCCCTTGGTGAATCCATGTTGACTGTTCCTGATCACCTTCCTCTCCTCCAAGTGCTTCAAAATGGTTTCCTTGAAGTCCTGCTCCATGATTTTTCCAGGGACTGAGGTGAGGCTGACGGGTCTGTAGTTCCCTGGGTTCTTTTTCTTCCCCTTTTAAAAGATGGGTACTATCTTTGCCTTTTTCCAATCATCCGGGACATCCCCTGATCGCCACGAGTTTTCATGGATAATGGCCAATGGCTCCGCAATCACATAAGCCAATTCCCTCAGTACCCTCAGATGCATTAGATCTGGGCCCATGTGCATGTCCAGCTTTTCTATATAGTCCTTAACCTGTTCTTTCACCACTGAGGGCTGCTCAACTCCTCCCCATACTGTGTTGCCCAATGCAGCAGTGTGGGAGCTGACCTTGTCTGTGAAGACTGAGGCAAAAAAAGCATCGAGTACTTCTGCTTTTTCCACATCATCTGTCACTAGGTTGCCGCCCCCGCCCCCCCATTCATTAAGGGTTCCACACTTTCCCTGAACTTTTTCTTGTTGCTAACATACCTGTAGAAACCCTTCTTGTTACCCTTCACATCCCTTGCTAGCTGCAACTCCAGCTGTGTTTTGGCCTTCCTGATTACACCCTTGCATGCTCGAGCAATATTTTTATAGTCCTCCCTAGTCATCTGTCCAAGTTTCCACTTCTTGTAAGTTTCCTTTTTGTGTTAAACTCACCAAAGATCTCACTGTTAAGCCAAGCTGGTCGCCTGCCATATTTGCTACAGTCAATCACTTGTTTATACTGTTCTATATATATCAGCGGTTCTCAAACTGTAGGTGAGTTCGTTTTAATGGGGTCACCAGGGCCAGGATTAGACTCGCTGTGGCCCAGGGCAGAAAGCCAAACCCTGAGCCCGGGGCTGAAGCCAAAGCCTGAGTTAAGTGAAGTGAAACTTGGGGTATGCAAAACAAATCAGACTCCTGAAAGGGTTACAGTAGTCTGGAAAGGTAGAGAATCACTGCACTATGTAAATACATGGTATGCCCACACCTAACATACTGAGTGCAGTACTGGTCACCTCATCCAAAAAAGATATATTAGAACTGGAAAAGGTGCAGAGAAGGGCAACAAAAATGATTCAGGGTCTGGAACAGCTTCTATAGAAGGAGAGATTATAAAGACTGGGACTGTTCAGTTTAGAAGAGTCACAACTAAGGGGCGAATGAGATGGTGGTCTATAAAACCACAAATGGCATGGAGAAAGTGAATAAGTGTTATTTACCCCTTCACATAACAGCTGATGAAATTAACAGGCAGCAAGTTTGAAACAAACAAAAAGGAAGTACTACTTCACACAACCTGTGGAACCTTCGAATATTGTAGGGCTAAAAGTATAACTGGATTAAAAAAAGAATTAGATAAATTCATGGAGGATAAGTATAATCAATGGCTATTAGCCAAGATGGTCGGGATAGAACTCCATGTTCCAGGTGTCCCTATACCTCCAACTGCCAGAGGCTGGGACTGGATGATAAGGGATGGATAGCTTGAAATTACCCTGTTTTGTATATTCCCTCTGAAGCATCGGGACTTGTCACTGTTAGGGACAGGATATGGAGATAGGTGGACCACTGGTGTGATCCCAGTATGGCAGTTCTTATGTCCTTAAATAGTGTCATTATGATACTTTCTGTTTTATTAGCTCTCTTTCCTAATGGTTCCTAACATTGTTAGTTTTTTTTGACTGCCAATACACACTGAGCAGATGTTTTCAGCGAACTATCCAGGGCGAATCCAAGATCTCTTTCTTGAGTGGTAACAGCTAATTTAGACCCCTTCACTTTGTAAGTTTAGGTGGGATTATTTTTCCACTGTGTATTACTTTGCATTGATCAGCACTGAATTTCATCTGCCATTTTGTTGTAGAAGTGGCAAGAGGTGTCCTCCTCTCCCCGCTGTGGGAGTGGGTGAAGGCATAGGCACCAGCAGCCAAGCTCCCCCCTCCTTGCCTCCTTCTCCCCCTTCCTCCAGCATGCTGCATCCCAGCTCCTCCCCTTCTCTCCCAGCGCTTTCCGCCTTCCAACAGCTGTTTGGCAGCACTTAGGACTTTCTGGGAGGGAGGGGGAGGAGCAGGGATGCCATGCGCTCAGGGGAGGAGGCAGAGAAGAGGCAGGGTGGAGGGGGGACTTGGGAAAAAGGGGTGGAATGGGGGCGGGGCTGGGAACATTGGGGAAGGGGTGGGGCGAGGGCAGTGAGGGGGGTGGGAAGAGGCGGGGCCAGGGGGTGCAGGGGTCGAGCACCCACGGGGAAGTCGGCGCCTATGTGTGAAGCACTAGTCTGAGGACAAGCCCCACCCGACACAAAAATGCAGCTGCCAAGGCACCCAAGCCTGCTTTCTTAGCCAATGAGGGTAATGATCACAACTCTAATGATGGGTCCCTTCCACCTCCCAATACAATGTCATGGAAGCAAGCTTCAGAACCATTGTTGGAGAGTGTACCATATGACATTGAAGCATCACCATATCAATAAAAGGTTTTTCTTTTCTCCACCAAAGCAAAATAAGTAATTTACTGGCCAGGTATAGAACTTTGGGCTTTTCCCATAAACAGAATTACTTCCCTGAATTAAGCTGGGTCTATGTGTGGGGTCATACCAGATATTGGCACATTCACACACTTTCTCCAGCCCAGTGTTGCTGAATGTTGGGGCAATATACACGGGATCTAGCTCTGTTGTTTGCATCCTCTCCAGTACGAACCCAGCTGCTGTAACTTCATATTTATCATCACATCACAGAAGGATACATTCTGGTGATCATTTTTATGGTGTTTCTAAGACAACACTTCTTTGCAATTCTTAGGCATGTTTCAAACTCCAGTACCTTCCTGTTGTATCACTGAGACTTTTCCATGTGTGTTCTCAGTTCTGAGTTTTCCAAGGTTTTATACATTCTCCAATTCATCTTTCAACAAAAAAGAATAATGTAAACTGAAACCAGACCATTTTGAGAAGAATCTCTCTGGCAAGGCTGAAGAACAAACTTTGGTTCTTAGCCAGTGGAAAGGCTGGAACCGCTTTGGTCACTGCCAGCTATTAATAATCTTAGCTTGGAATTTTTCTGTAAGACTAGAAAAAAACTGACGCATCCCATTCAAACCACAGAGGCAGAGCTGTCCCTGAATATAGAAAGTGCAGACTAAACTAGGAGATCGTAATGTAGTTGTGAGAGAATGATTGTAGTCTGTAGACTTGATTGTTCCTATTGATGACTGGTTATATTCTGTCTGCTGGACAGATTGTGACCAGAAAACCCATTATAACCTTAATTAGTTCAGAAAATTATTTTAAAACAGAATCAATGTAGTGCTGAAGTTTCCATTATAAAGGCAAATGTTTACTGCTTAACTTGAATACAAATATTACAGTTACAGAATTAAATGGTGCATTTCCCTCCACAACCATACATTCTTAATGGTAATTGTACAGTTCCACTGAGGAAAGGGAAGGCTGGATTTGGGGGATTTTAAGTATGGATTCAGCACCACAGAACCCTACTCTGCTGGGGCTTTGAGCCCTAGAGGCTTAAGAGACAGGACTGGTAGATCAGTAATTAAGACCATGGAAGAGAATGACCAGTGGACTGAAGAAGCCACAGGGCACTATTTCAACCTACAGCAGAATGGTTCTACTGCTCCTCCACACCTTGTGGGTGGAGGATTTCCTCCCGCTGTCCATGGGGAGATTACCAGTATACAGCTTGGTCAATTGGGCTGCATTATGAGGTCAGTTTTTTAAGCCATAATTAATGTTGAGAAAACAAATTACTGCATATACTCGTTCATAAACCAAATATTTTTGGTAAAAAAGTGATGCATCAAAGAGCGGAGGTCAGCTTATAAACAGGTCTACACCAAACTTTCATGATTTTAAACTATGAAATCATTGAATTGAATATCTAATACATTATCATTTTGTTTACCTGGAGTGTCTGCAGGCATGGAGCCCCTCAGTTCCCTGTGGCCGTGGTTCACCGTTCCCAGCCAATGGGAGCTGCAGGAAATGGTGCTTCCTGCAGCTCCCATTGGCTGGGAACGGCGAACCGCGGCCACAGGGATCTGAGGGGCTCCATGTCTGTGAACGCTCCAGGTAAACAAAATGTTCCGACCTGCCAGCGGGCCTGGGAGCCAAAAAGTTTGCCAACCTCTGAAATATAGGGTCGGCTTATGAAAGGGTCATACAGTTTTTACTATTTTTACCTACCCATCGGGGGGGGAGGGGGAGGGTTGGCTTATAAACGAATGGGCTAATGAACGAGTATATATGGTAATTAACCAGCATTTTCTAGGAAGCTTCTAGGTATTCTAGAATATGCACTCACCATATGCTGTCATCGTCCCAACATAAGGCCCATCCACCACATTTCTATTTTCTTCTGCCAATGCTTTGATATATCTTTTGCTGAGATCCAATATTTGCTCACGAAGGACTGAACTGCTTTCATGTTGAGTTCGCTGTTGAATAGTAAAATGCAGAAGCATCATTCCCCAAATAAAGCCAAAAGTCACCAGAAAAAACCCAAGTTTCTGAGAAGAGAGTTTCCACGGAGTAAAGAACGCCATGGCTTCCCAACAGCTTCACAATCACTGCACGGGTTCTTAAAGCAAGAAACCAAGGAGCAAATGCATGGTCCAGGTATGTAAAGATCACAATGCAGGAATCAGTCTCACTCTGGTGCATTAGTCAGTGTATTTCCTCCTTTCAGTTCCATCCTGCTGCTGCCAAAACAAAGGGAAAAAAGCACATGGTCACCATAAAGTACTAGAGAATCTTCAAACTGTATTTTGTTTGTATTTTAACTTTTGCAAAATATGAGTAGAAAACATGTTTTCTTTATACATTTTTAATTTGTTTTACTTTACAATATGAATCAGAGCAGGAACAAGCTGGGAAAAGATTTGGAAAGAGAACAAGTATAAAAAAATTAAATGTATGTTAACCAGCATAGAACACCTTTGAAAATTTGGACCAAATTCAATTCTTTAAAAAAAGTTTCCAATCTGAATTTCAAGGAAAAGGTATTTCAGTGTAATGGGTGAATGAAGATCTTATCTTGCCAATATAGTGGATTTAAAACAATCCTACCATCATTCTTTTCTCAGAGAACAAGTAATTTTAGCTGGCAGTGACAGTGCTATTCGTTTCTGGCAAGAACTAGGGCATATGGCTAGATAGGTGATCAGGAAAGTGGATTCTCTCAAGGGAAAGGGGAAATAAGTGTTCTGCATTATTTAAGCAAACGCAAGCTCTCCTGGCTTACATTACAAGTATTCAGAGGATTGGAAGAATCTCTTATTGTTCTTGTGTGGCCTCTGTGCCATGTGTCACAGAGGAATAGCTTCAAAGTTATTTCATAATAAGTAAGAGTTCAATGAGCACATTTCTGTGCCACACTTATGAATATAAATATATTTCTGAACTGTCACACTACACCTTTTCTGTTTTAAAATGCTCTCACTGTTCTAATTTCAGCATATGCAATTTCAGCAAAGAGTTAGTATCTGACTATCTAAAAATCAAGTAGTGGCTCCATTTTTGCATAATACACTCAATAAAACCTAGCCAACACCCAATTTTTTGAACATATTTGTTAATATTAAACAGAACAAGGAAAGCTTACTTAGAAAGTTTCAAGTCAGGTTTTTTAGCATAAAACACTGTAAAAAGGAGAAATACTAAAAGGAAATTAAGTGTAACCTATCATTTAAAAACATGGATTTAGTAAAGCATTATCCTTTTAACTTTATAATGTTCCCAGCAGGAGTATAGAACACACAATGGGTTCTATTTTGTACTTGCACAGATAATGTAGATGTTGCCTGTTTTAATACAGTAACTACAGATATGCCTGCTAGCACTACTGAACATACTTATCGACACATCAAAAATTCTATCAGAAGCCTTGCTTTTGGTAGAATTAACCACTCCTTAGAGGAAAACTGCCACCTTGGGCCAGAATATAGTACAAAAAAGTCTTGTGCATGCACTTTCATTACTGCAATACAGTTAGTCCAAAGATCATTATGTACCAAAGTGAGTTATTCTGTGTCTATATTTTACTTTAATTCCTCTATTGCTGAAAAGTTCCATTTATAGTTTTGCTTTGTACCCATGCTAGCTTTGAAAAGGGCGGGTGTGAGAAAAATGGAAATTGTTTGTATTTGATTTCACTATAGATAATGTAGCATACCCTTGGTTAGGTATGCTTCAGAAACCCATACAGAAGGAAGTAAATTGTTCTTACGAGTGTTCTCTCCACAAGCCTAGGTAGGCTAACACATTTCCTGGTGATCGCACTGGGTAAGTTCAATTCTTTCTGTTTAATTCTATTCTGGGAACCTTTTTTCCAATCACCTATACTAGAAAATGTATGGATTTAAAGTTTTACCATTCTCTTGTAATATCCAAGTGTGAAAATGCTGGAAATTCAATATGTAAAAACAACTCTGTGATTTGAAATCAAAGACATCCAAGACACTAACTCCCCCAATGAACTGAAATTACATATAAAAGTTGTCAGCCCTATATCAATACGATCTTTAACCATTACAATTATATTATTTCTTTCCATAATTATATTGTGCTTCAAGATGAAACAAGAGTAACCAAAATGCATGGCATAAATGACGTTGTGACATTGCGCTCCATATGATTTTATGAAAATATGCTAATGAGTAAGAATATAATATAACTGGAATACACTTCATGCAAAAGGTCTCTTGTACGGTATCATTACAAAGCTTATAATCTACTGAGTGTGGTCATCCTATTTGTATAAATATATCATTCTTGTATCTAAAACTAGAAATATAAAATGTAACTGAGGTCCTATTGTAATTGTGCAAAGTGTGGGCTATTAATGATGGTTTGGAATCTTGATGGCCGCCATCAACTAGGACAATTGATTGTAAATGGCTGTTTACTTGTAAGCCTTCCTGTGAGTCAGGCCAGGAAGAATGAAGGCTTGGCGTCTCACAGGACATGTGACCATGTCACCTGGTACTGGAATCCATCTTAAACCTGGTGTTTTTCCATTTAGGAGGAGGGCTGGGGACCCAGAGAGACAAAAGATTTCCACCTTGTGCCAAAGCTACATAAGAGGGTGGAACAGAACAAAGAGGGCTGCAGTCATGAGAAATCCCCAAGCTACCACCTGAGCTGGAACAAGGACTGTACTGGGGGAAAGGATTGGGCCCAGACTAAAGGGAGGCTAGTCTGTGAAAGAAGCTTATTGGAAAATCTGAGGGTTAGATTTACCTGTATTCAGTTTCTTAAAGGTATTAGACTTAAACTTAGGTGTTTTGTTTTATTTTGCTTGGTAACTTACTTTGTTCTAAGAAAAGGAGTACTTGTGGCACCTTAGAGACTAACAAATTTATTTGAGCATAAGCTTTCGTGAGCTACAGCTCACTTCATTGGATGAAGTGAGCTGTAGCTCACGACAATTTATCCTCAAATAAATTTGTTAATGTCAAGGTTCCTCCCACACTCTGAACTCTAGGGTACAGATGTGGGGACCAGACTGACACTGAAACCACCACCACCTCCATTCAGATGGATAGGCTGCTAACGTGGACGCTGGATTATGATCATTTAAAGGCCAACCCTATCAAAAGCATTCCAAATACACCAGACACACACGCAGTAAAACTCCAGTGTGAGTGGACACATCTGGCATGACCCAACATTCCACAGAAAAGTGATGCCAGGACTCATGCTCTACGCTTCAGGCAGTGGACGAACCCATTTAAAGAGATGCATACGTGTGCACTCATGTAAATTCTCAGCATTATAAAGCTAACCGAGATAGATAGCTCTAGTACTAGTGACGCATGTAAGTAAGGGCAAAAATTCCACCTAAAATATACACACATTAAACTTTACCAGTAATGCTAACTTTTACCTCACAGTAGATGGTCTGCTGCATATCAGATAGTGTTGGTATTTTCAGATCAACCCATGAAAAGCAAATTAATAGCAGGGTATTTCAGCCTACATCCCACCTAGTTTTCACAGAGTTGGCTAATCTCTATTCAGAAACAGCTTTAAGTCTCAGTTACAGTTTTTTCAGCTAGTTTGTTCAGACTGATTTTCCCTTGCTTTCTCTAATTTCTTGTATGGCTTCAGACAACATGTAATTCTTGTTTTCTTTCTATCTCCCCTGTTTATAGGCACAGCATTACTGGTGAGGTGGGTTACTGACTTGCTCCGTGTGGTCATTTTACACAGTTAATTAAATTTAAATAATGGAACTGTTAATGAGAGAGGGACAAAAAAGGCAGTTCACTTTAGAATTATGTTCAGCAGCCGTTTCTCTTCGAATGGAGGTGACTGCATAGAGATCCACTGAAAACCTAATGGAAGAGCACAGAAAAACAGACATGAAGAAACGCTAGATTCTAAGAAAAAGGTTCTACTTTATATGAACATATTGTCTATTGTCGGGCAGTTTGCAACGCCACAAACCTTTCCCATACACAATATATATAGTACCAAAATGTCTGATGTTATATCTGAATAACTAATGGAAACTAGGGAATGCCTGTAGGGTTACAAAACGCATGCATACACATAAACCAGATTTTTTTTTTAAACGTGTTTTTCTGCAATTGTTTTTTACTTGCTATTCGGCAACTGTTACACCAACATCTAAACCATCATGGTTCAGAAAGTGTTTGTCCATTCATGAGTTCTTTGAAATTTCTCCTATTTGTGGGAGACGGACGGAGGGGGGCAGTTATACCAGCCAGAGTGCAAAAAATTCTTAGTTTCTATTGGTTGCCTCCTGCTTGCTTCACACAGAAGGAAATGTCTATGCATCAGGCAATGACAGCAGCAACCAAGTCACAGAAAGATGCAAAATGGAACTTTAACTATTAATTATCAATCCTGTCTACATTTTAATTCCTCAAACACATCATCCTCTTCCCATTTATCAACATGGTAATTTACAATGGTCAAAGAGAAGCAGAGTACCTAGTGCTTCCCAGACTAGAATATTTGTAGCCAACACCCATCTAATGTGAGATGTATACAACAAATACAGCCAGGTCCAAAGCTCACTGAAATCAGTGGGAAAGCTCCCATGACTTCAGTGGGCTTTGAATTAGCCCATAATGAACCTTTTAGTTTCCTTAAAATGGTTTGGTAAATTTACATCTTAAAAATTCAATTTAAAATGTTTCCCACTTTTCACATCTGAAGCAGACAATCTGATAAAATGCAAAACTCACCACAGCTAGCAAGAAGACAGATGCTCTTTGGAGAAAACAGTGCATTTACTGCAAACACCAGTAAGCAAACAAAAGATATGCAGATAGCAACTTACAACTGTGTCAACCCATGCACAGTGCCTACTGTCTTAGCCTGAAGGAGTCGCCCTTCAGATCACCTCACAGAGAGAAAGCTATGCGATAATGAGTTAACTCGTTCAGTAACTTCTTTTACCCGTTATTAAAAGCACATTTCAGAATTTAAATTGCTTAACACATAAAATAAATGCACAAAGCAGTTACCTTAAGGTAAGAATTAAGAATTCTTGAAAGACATTTTTGTCCTCTTTCCTGCTCCTCCCCCCCGCTTTTTTTTTTTTTTAAACAGAATGCTCTCGTCCCTCTCCTAACCCTCAACTACACCTGAAGTGGGGCACAGAATAACCACCTCTAGATGCAAGTCAACACAGTGAGAGAAGAATGATGCCAGGTTGACAGCTGAGGCA